CCCTTCAGCAGGTGACCTGGCAATTCCCTGCAGGTGCTAGACTGCTGCGTGTCTCAGCAGGGCCCTGAGGATGCTCAGTGGAGACCCGGGCATTTGCCCTGCTCCACAACTCACACACACACACAGACACACACACACCAGTTTGGCCAGAGCCCCTCCCAAGTCCACAGGACAGAGACAGGCACATAGAGTGGGGGGGTACTGTGTGTTCTGCTGGCCTGGAGTGGTCGGCCCCCGGCGTGTATCCACCCTCCAGGACCCCTTTCCCAGCCCGAGGGTCTCAGGGTGGCTGACAGACCAGGCAGAGCTCTGCTGACTCAGGGCCGCCAGCAGGACTCACAGCCCTCCTGCCCTCGCCCTATCCACCCACAGGACCCCGCAGCCAATCCTGTGTGGAAAAGCAGGAAAGCCAGCTGACTCAGAGAGCGGTGCCCAGAGCCCAGGCCTCTCCTGCCCCCTGCCAGGTAGGGGCAGAGCCTGGGAGGAACCCCATACAGGCGAAGGGCGTGGAAGGGCCTGTCAATCACAGAGGAGACCAGACGCCTGGGACTGCCCCTTTCCATGGGTCTTGGCTGAGGTCCCCTCGGAAGAGCTCTGGTTCCGCTGGGTCCCCATGGGCTCCATCATCCTTCTGGGGTCTCTGTTTTGTGCCTTTGGAACAGTACTCCAGGGCGGAGAGCCCCATGCCTGAAGCGAGAAGAAGCCCCATGCCAGGGCCTCTGCCCCAGGAAGCCCCCCACAGCCGCAGGACCCCCGAGAGCCCTTCCAGATGCCTGGCTCCAGCCACTGCCCTGTTGATACAGGAGGTGAGGCCACCTGGGCCAGAGCACTGGACACATTCAGGGGAGGCCCTGGGTGGCCTGGGGTGGGGAGAGGGCAGGCCCCGAGGCGGCTCCCCAGAAAACCCTACCAACCTACTTTCCCCCCTTAAGGCTCTACTTCGAGGGGGCTTGGACACCTTGGCAGCCGATGCTGGCTTCATCACAGCGACAGGCCAGGCCCTGGCAGAGGCCTGCCAGATGGAACCAGAGGACGTGGAGGTGGCAGCCACAGAGCTACTGAGAAGACGAGAGTCCCCCGAGGGCACAGCCGGTGCCCTGGGGCCCCCGAGCCTCAGGTCCTCCCTGGGCAGCCTTGACACGTGTCAAGGCTCTCAGGAGACCCTCATTCCCCCCAGGCCATGAAACCCACAGTCTTGGCCTGGGTTAAGGCCTCCTGGCCAGTGATGGAGAGAGGGTGCTGGAGGGGACAACGTCAGCATCTGGGGCAACCTCCCTGTCTCCACTGAGTGGATGGTCAGGGACCTCAGCAGACAATCAGGGGGAAGGAGATTGTAGGCCCCTCGGAATTACAGGGCGATCCTAACGTCATTCAGATTGGCCTGGCCAGTGTCTGTTGGCACAAGCCCTCCCCAACCCAACAGAACATTAAAGTCTCCAGCCCTGTCCCCGGGCACCTGGGCTCCGCTTGTCTCCTGTTCTGGGCCTTCCTTCCCCTCGGCCCCTCCCCCAGGAGGCCGGAGGGGCCTTCTGGACTCTATTCTGCGGAGAGTCCCACAGCCCCACGCGCAGGTGTCTCGCTGGCCAGAGTCCGCTGCCAGCACAGGCCTCGAAGCCCCAGCTGTGCCTGTTTATGGCCTTGGATATCAAAGGTCCCAGGCTCCAGGGCCCCTCTTGTCCACGCCGAGTCACCACGAGCAAAGCAGCCACAGTGGACCAGGTGCGCCCCGGCCACTGGCACTGTCCTGCACCCGCCACTCTCCTTTCAAACCGCTTGCCCACCTGATACCCATTTCATGCTCACCGGAGCCAGGGGAGGTGGGGGCGGGTCCCGCTTGAGGATGGGGCAGTGGAGGCACAGAGAGGTACAGTGCCCGCCTGGGGTCACACAGCCAGACATAGGCAGTGAGGCCCCACCCCCTGCCCCAGGCGGCCCCTTCCCAAGCTGCTGGCCTCTCTCCTCAGCCCCTTTCCCTCTCGGAGCCCTCTGGCTGTTGCTATAGTAACTACGCCGCCTCCCAGAGCACCCCAAGGGCTCCTGAGCTGCCCCACCCCAATGCGAGTGCCCAGGCAGGGGGCTCACTGACTGTCACAGCGAATCTGAGGTCCCCCCAGCCGGGCGCACAGCCTCCTCCTGCAACGCCTCTCTCCCCAAACTCAGCACCAGTAGCTTGTCCTGACGTCGGGACCCCACGCCCTCAAACCCCCCAACCCTCCTCCAGCCCCCCAACCCCGGCCTGTGAGAGCCCAGCCTCCCCCTCCTCCTCTGAGAAACAGCAGGACCATCTTACAGAAGCTGGTCCCCACACGGGCTGGGGGTGCCTTCTGTCGTCTGGGGCACTGGCCAGGGGCAGTGTCTGCTGGATCCCACCTTCTCCCTGCCAGGTCCCTGCAGACAGGGGGCCCAGCTGCCGGGGGAGGGATCTGCCAGGAGGGGTGTGGGCACGGCTGGGGGAGGGCATAGGCACAGAGCCGCCAGGATAGCCACACGACACGGGGAGCCCTTCATCTGGAAGGGGGGCTCAGGTAGAGGATGCTGGAAACCAAGGAGGGTGGCCCCACTCCAGGCCACCTTCAGAGTAGGCAGGAGCCCCCCATCCTCTCCTGCCCTGGTGCTGGTGCTGCTCCAGGTCCTGCCCCAGCCGGGGCGGAGCAACTCTTAAAGGGGGGACGTCTCTGACAACCTCGGGAGCCAGCCGCTTCCCCACCCTGACGTCAGGCAGGTCTCATAACCTTAAGCTTGAGCTCCTCCCACTCCTGGGGCACTGGAAGGTGCCAATGTGAAAACCGTAGGCCCAGGCCCCTTGTGAGACGCAGGTGATTTGTTTCTGTCGGATGCTGGCTGGTGAGGGAGCCAGACCTCTCAGGGAGCAGGCGGGCCCCCCGGGCCCCGGGCCACCATTGGAAGCTGGGCCCTGGGGACCGCAGCCCAGGCAACTCACAGGCCTCCTCCCGCTTCCCTGGGTCCAGAACCACCTGGGCCAGGCACCCTCAGCGCCATCCCCTCTACCCAGCCTCATCCACACCCGTCTCTGAGACCTTCTACCCGCCAGGGAACCTCATGGTGGCAAATTCAGGGGTCCCCTTAGAGGGCGGGGACCCCTGAGGAAGGGATAGAAGACCCACAGAAAAGTGAGGGAGATGACTATTTATTTTGCGCTGAGCTCTGTGCTGGGTGCTCAACCCAGGTGATTTCACTTAACCTCACAACAGGTGAGTGTGGTTATCTCCCGCTGAGGACGGAGCCAACACGTGGAGTCCTCCCATCACCGGCCAGGTCACGCGGCCGGGCAGGGGCAGGACTGGAATTTGAACCTGGATCTCGGTGACTCAGACACCACCCTCTGGCTTCTGGGCTGTCTTTTGTCATTTTGTTCTGACTTAACTGTTGTCTGAACTGTAAACTCACCTGCAGCCTGGTCTCTCACGTTACCTTTGGTCGTGTCCTGAGGCTGTAGAGAAAAGACGGCCCAGCTCTGGGAGCCTGGGGACACATTTAGTCCCTACTCGGCCCCTGGATTATTGTGCAGCTCTGGATATGTCTCTCTACCTACCTGGGCCTCAGTTTCTCCGCCTGGAAGTGCAGGGGTTGAACCAGATGATTGTAGGGTTTGTGACTGTGAGGGTCACCCACACCACCCCAATCCTTTGGCCCCTGAGCTGTATCAGAAGCCCCTGCAGAGAACAGCAGGTGAAGAGCCGGTGTTCGAGGTTATATGGGTAGCAATTAAACCCTCAGTAACACTGGAAACCAAAAATAGTTTTTTTTAAGACTGGTCGGGGTGTTTGTAATCCACAGCGCTTCTCTCTCCCCCTCACTATTTATAACCAATTCTGGTTTCCTCCAGGGCTAAGTTTGTCTTCTTTGTAACGGAGGAAGTCCAGCCAAGCCCATGCCTGAGCTAAGATCTCTGAGTCTGCGCCCCAATAGAGCCCCCCTGGGGTCCCAAGGTTCTGCCGGCACGCAGATCAGGACTCTGCCTCCGGCTGGGCATCGGAGGGTGTGGTCAGCTGCCAGCAGGGTCTCCCACAGAACCAAGCACAGCTGCTGGGGTGGGGCTGGGCCTTAGGACTGGAGGCCCAGAACTCTGGACTTTCCACCCAGAACATTAGGTCGAAGCTCAGATAGCTTCTGCAATGCCGATGCCTGGATCTAGCCCTAAAGAAGATGAAACTCAAGGTCGGGGCACCTTGGAGACGTTTCTAGGGTCTGAGGGGAGCTCCTCAGTGTTTTGATTTGTCGCTGTAGGGCTGTGCCTGTGAGATCTGGGCCAGATGGCTGCCCCAAGTCACTGCTGAGTATTTTAACTACCGTAGCGTGGGAGCTTCCTGCTTTGGAGAGCCCCCTGCCCCACACTCCCCCAGGTTCCCATCTGCCCAGACGCCCACAGCTCCCAGGCAGGAGAAATGATGGGGGCCTAGGATGCCGGGGGGGAAGGGCCTCAGCTCAGGGCAAGAGTGGGGCTCAAACTCCAGGGCTCAGGGCCAAACACAGGGGAGTGTGTGAGTGTGTGTGTGTGTCTGTGAGCGAGAGCCTGTTTCTGTCAGGCCCTGAGGGAAGGCTTGGGGTGGGAGGGAAAAGCATACAAGCAGCTGATCTGAAGGAACTTCAGGCTTTGGGAAGGAGGGAGGAAAGAAGGAAGCTGGAAGGAGGTAGGGGGTGGGAACAAACCAGAGAGGAGGCCGAGGCTGTGTTGAAGCTGAACAGAGACTGAAGGGACTGCCCCAGGCTTCCCCTGGCCCAGCTCACTGAAATCTCCCCAAGTTCTTTCCTGCCTCTGGGGCCACATCTGACCGCTGTGCCCAATTACTGCCCTACCTCTGGGCAGCGGTGCCCATAAGTCAGGGTCTGGACCTCTGACTGTCCTGCTTCCCCCCTGGAGGCCCAGGGGTACCTGCTGATGGGCTGGCGTGGCTGACCTGAGGCCCCCACCTCTAGAAAGCCTGAGTTTCCAGCTGCAGTGCCTCCCTGGTTCTCCTGACACCCTGTGACCTGGCGGGATGGGCGGGGCAGTGGCTCTAGTACCATTTCCCAGCAGTAAAGCTGTGAGTCAGAAAGGTCACCTACTCTAGGAAGACTGAGGGGACTTCCTGGACCAGGAAACCAGAGATGGGCCCCAGAGAAGTCCAGAATCTAGCGGGCAGCAGAGCAGCTTTGCAAAATGCCATCCGGAGGGCTGACCCTAGAGCAAAAGGTCGGGCCAGTCCAGCTCCTTTCCCTTGGGCAGCTGCTGGAAGGTGATCTGGGGAGTCTGGTACTGGACACATGAGTTAAAATCCTGGGTCTGCTGCTTATAATCTCGGTGAGACCCAGTTTCCCCCTGTGCAAAACTGAGAAAGAATGATAAAGCCTAGCTCACAAGGTTGTGAGAGTGAAATGAGAACATGCACATAAAGTGCCTCGTTCATGTAGATGGTCCATAAACGCGGTCTCCTCCCCACTTGGTATTGTGGTTGATGGATGGAGAGAGAATGCCCAGAATCTGACTCAATGCTCTGCTGGCCGCCTGCTCTGGGAGGAGTGGCCTCCTAGCTCCAGAGGCTTTCTCTAGGTTCAAATGACCGTAAAAGGTATAGGATACCTGCTGGTGGGGCTCCTGCTCTCCATCAGGATTGGGGGGGGGAGGTGATTTGCCCTTGAAATTATCTTTGTTTTTGGTTGAATAAGGGATCTGAGCTATTGGAAGGAGCAGGGATCTTCAGAGTGGGTGGGGAAGGGAAGGGGTGGGGAACGGCGCCGCCAGGTGCATCCTCAGACCCTAACCCACACCCTCGCCCCAATCGCTGGCCTGGTTTCATCATCCCCGGGTGATGCAAGAGGCTTGGGGCCAGGCTCCCTGTTCTCACCTCTCCCAGAGGGCTCCCTCCACATCTGGAGCTGCAGCTGGGTCTTCCACTTGGGCCCCTTCCAAGGAAAGCAGCTGGTTGAAATGAGGGGCACGCGGGCAGCTGGTGAGAGGGCCTGTGAATGGCCCCAGTGTTGGGCATCCAGACGCAGAGAGAAGGTGCCCGGGCTCAGCGGGAGGGGAGATGGACTCCTCACTGCCCTGGTCTCTCTCCCTCATCACGGCCCTGGTCCTTTATGCCCAGAGAAAGGCAGCTGAGCTCTCTCCCCTCCCAGCCCCTACCCAGGTGCCCCAGTTGAGCTCCCTCTTTGTTCCCTCCCGTCCCCGGGGCAGCTCAGGCCTCCCACACGGACCCTCTGCCCCGGAGACCACAACAGGCAGAGCGCGCACCAGGCGCAGTGAGTGGGGCCTCCTGTGGTCACCAAGGTCTCCAGAAAGGGCAAGGCGCCTGGGCTAGGAGCCTGCCCACGCATGAGCCAAAAGATGAGCCGGAGGGGATCCGAAACACGGGCAAGAATCGCCTTCAGTGGGGGTCTGCAGGCTCACTGGAATAGAAGTGACCCTTCCTGGCGCTTTCCAATGCCAACTGCTCGCCTCTCCTGGGAAGCGCTGGGGGGCAGGAGACCTGCGCTCTTACCCACGCTTAGCCTCTGCCTCGCTGTGACCTTGGGCAGTTCCCTTCTCCGCGTCCCAGTTTCCTCATTTAAGACACCGGGTCCCCCCAAGGCCGAGGCTCCTGCGCGGCCCGCAG